ACTTACAGTATATTGCAAACTGATAAAAGCTAGGTAGGTAGCTGGTAGGGACTTTATGTTTAGCTCATTCATCTGTTATTAATATCATATCATTTATATATTAAAAAAGATTCAGGACATCTTGCTGTGGTTTGTGTCGAATGTTCTCATTGCTGTTTTCTGCATCCTTTCCCTTTCACTCTGAGCACGTCTATATGTGCCACTATGGTGCCACTGTTACTGCGCCGTCATTTAGTACATCCTATTAGGAAGTACTAAATGACAGCACAGTAACAGCTGGTACTGCACTATGCATGCTGCACATGGTTGTTTTTAGGCACTACATCCCTGTAGTGACACACTATAACAGGGCAACATTGCTATAGCAATGTAGCTGCGGCATCACGGGTTTTGCCTGCGGATGCTATGTTGCTGTAACGTATTGCTACGGCAATGTAGCGTTACATGTAGACGCGCCCTTGTTGAGGAATGCACCCTGACTAACATTGGGCTCCAAGCTCTGAAAGTCATGGATCTTCATTTGTACAGAATCCAGCACATCGGGAGCCCAACCCCTGAGCGAGGCTCATAGGAACTACTTGACAAAAAGGTATACCTCTTAGTTCAATCCATAATAAAAACTGGACTGGTCAAACACTAACCAAACTGGGACAGGCATTAACCAGTCAATAATACAATACCATATTTTCTCGCGTATACCATGCAAATTTTACCCAATAAAGCCACCTCCACCCAAATCAGGGTGCACATATTAAGCAGGGAAGCTGTTCTCCCAACCAGGATAGTAGCACCTAGCTTGGATTCTTATTCCACAGGGCAGCACTTGCTGCCTCGCTATTTGGGTTCCTGAGGGAATCAATTGACTTAATTGCTCTTGTTGTTGTAATAGTTCTCATTGTTTTTTGCTTCAGAGGTTTGGGGTCATGTTGCAAGGGGCATTTAGCATGTGTTAAATGCACTTAAACTGCCAGTGTCTGTGCAGTCAAGCAGGCTAACACATACTAAGTGCTCTTTTATTGTATCAAAGCAAAGTTATGCCTTTTTGAGTGAGGACTATGTCCAGAACATATTAAGTAGCACATATTGTGATAACAGGGAATTGTTCCACAGAGACAATATGATCTATTGCAGTCCCAGGGTTGAGACCTACAATCCAACCTGGTCCAGGACTGTACAGGAGTCTCAAATTTGGTCCCAAGCAGTCCCAGGGCTGAGACCAGCAATTAGCTGATTTCTAGTCTCAGCCCCAGGACCACATCAGAGCCAGTTGGAGACTGGTTGGGGGCTGGAACTTGGACCAAAAATCAGCTGCCTGTCAGTCTCTGTGCCAGCAACACACTGCAGTCAATTCAAGATTCCTGTGCAAAGACCTGGTGCTGAAAATCAGCTAATTACTGGTCAGTCCCAGCATGACTGATCAGAACATTGTCACATTAAATACAGCACAGCAATACTTAGTACTATCTTAGATAAAACACGTGCAACAAGGGCCTTAACAAACAATCATATTTCCTTTTTATTGGTCCTAATGTTCCACTCATCAAGGTAGACAGCTCCTCTGTACAATATGGAATTTCATTTGTACCTGGGAGAAATTTTACAATCTTTGCATTCTCCTATGCCTGAAGAAGAATGTGTGCGCCAAAAAGCTTGCAAATAAAGAAAAAGTGTTCTTGCAACTGTCTAGTTGGTCTAATAAAAGATATTGCCTCTAGCACACTGACTGTTTGTACTTGTAACACGGTTACAACCTTTATCCCTTTACCATTAATCAAGCTAACTTCTCTTAGGGCACCTTGTTGACTGCCATCTGCTTCTGGTTTCTCTCTTCCTATTTCACAGCTATGGACACTCTAAGCTCTTTTCAAAGTCATGGATCAATCCATGTAGATCAGTCTTGGGCAATAACTAGGACTTCTGCTTTAGTTAAGTGGCAAAGGTGAGTAACCCAGAAATTAGGTTCTGTGCCTGCTCTTCACAACCATAACTCCGGAAAAAATCTTTTCATCATTCTGCCTTTCAAAAATGATTTGTGTATTGCTGTATTTACCCCAATCCAAGATGAGCCTGAATTTAAGACAAATCCCAAACAATTAGATTCTATAAATGGAAAATTTTATAATTTTCCATGTACAGAATTTAATTGGAGAATTTTCTTAAATTTATCCTCACCATCATTGTAGCAGGAAAAGCTACGATAGGAGGGCAGGTGGGGGGTGATAGATTGGGTGGGGGGGGACAGGCAGACAGGCAGATAGCTAGTGTGGAGACAGTGAGGGAGACAGGATGTTTGCACCCTGCGGCCCGTTCCCCCCCCCCCCCCCACCCTGCAGATTCTGCCCCTGCCTCTGCCCCCGGGGGAGGCGGGGGGATGGCAGGCAGAAGCAGAGATTGAGGTGCGGGAAGACAAGAGGAAGGGGAAGGGGAAGGGGGTGGGTGTGAGGTTGCAGGTGGGAAAAGCTGGGGCATAGGCAGCAGCTGCAGCTCTGGGCCCAACCCAAGTCCAGGACTGGAGCCAGAGCCGCAGAAGCTGCGTACTATCCCTGCCATCTCACACTTTATTCCAAGATGAGGAGCCTCCCCCCTCTCCCCCCACCATGTTAAATGGGGAGAGAAAAACCTTATTTTGGACCTGAGCAAATACAATATATTGGGGGCAGGGTGTGTTGTATGTGAAAAAATATGGTAACAGTCTTTGGCCTCTGAATTTTATGATGGCAATCAAATAGGAGTTCCTAATTCATGTACTATGGCTTTGAGTGTATAAGATATTTTTCTTCCAAAAAGGAGGTCTAACACTGAGATGCATCTTAAATACAGCAACGACATAAAATTGTGATGATAATTTTAATAAAAGTTAAACAAAAATTAAATCAAGTTTATGTTAAATTTTTTTCACTCACAATTTTACTAGTTTTGGACAGTGTCTTATACACCAGAAAAAATGGTACATTAATTAACTAATTAACTCAAAACTAACTGTAAGATGTGTACAGGCCTGTTTACTGACCCTCAGTAGAACAAAACATCAAAAACAGAAAATATTCAAAGCTTGTAGGAGAAGATATTTGGACATGGAAAACATTACTATATTTCCAAAAATTAATTACATATTTTCACCTCGTCTGTTCTCAAGGGTGGGGGAGGAAGGTTGTTAAAATATAACCTTTGTGACGAAGTTCATGTTTATGAGAAGGGGGGGGAGGGAAAGGAAAGAGGGAGAAACAAGTCTCTGAGCCAATGGTCCAAGGGTGGTTTAGAGCAGGACTCCTCTTCCTTGTCCCCAAATTAACAATGCGATGAATGCAGTATTAAGGTAGGGAGTGAGAGAGAGATGAAAAAAAAAAAAAAAAAAAGTGGCGTTGCCAAGAAACTGTCACCACTAGGGCTGGCCAGAAAACAAGAATTCTGTTCTGTGAAAAATTTTGCAGTTTGGGGATTTGATTTAGTTCCATATCAGGATGAACCAGAGAACTTTTGATTTTTTTTTTTCCTCTCTCTTTTTTTCTTTTTGTAAAAAAAGGAGACAGAGACCCACCTACCCCACAGTAGCCAACAGCAGGGCATTAGTGTACTCCTCTAGCCACAAGTCTATAGGGACTGGGGGAAGAGGCGTGGGGGAGAGGGATTCCTCTCAGTCACTTGTTCGAGCTGTTCTGTTATCTCCCTCTAAGTAAATAGTCTTTGGACCAAAGAGACAGACTCTAGAAAAGCAATGATTAGGGCACCAGTTTAGGCAGATTTGATTCTTTACAGCCGGCATCTCAGAGGATCGCTGTCAACACTAGATTACAGAAGTAATCTAAACCAGCCCCGTGTTTCCTAAGCTATAAAGTTAGTTCCTCTCTCTTTGGGCTAATGAATACTTAATTAATTGTACAACTGTCCACCCCTGATGTAACTGCAGCTCCTTGCATCTCCTACATCCCAGCCCTGTTCAGGACATTTCCTATCCTAGCATCTCTCTCTCAGCAGAAATTTCTGTCTCACCAAAACCTGCCCGCTGAACATGAGAAAGGTTCATCCAAACTGACACAGGTCTATAAGAGTTCCCAATTCGAAGAAATGAGCATGTTCCAACAACACCCTCACCCCAGTACAGTATATTCCCAACCTGCTCTAATCACTTTCCCAAGACGGTGCATCTCTCTATTCCCCAGAAATGAAGATGCAGATGGGGATGGAAACAGTTTAAAAAAATGAATGTATACTGTCCTGGCTTAGAAAGGTGCCTGGAAACACTGAAGCCAATAGAAACCTAGGGGCAGGGGACAAGTCAGGGGATGGCTACTGCTTTGTAGAGGTAGGTGGGTACCCAGAGAAACACAAAACTCTGAAACTCTTGGTTCAGAGGTGCTGCCTTTTATTAGACCAATTAAAAAATAGCAACACCCCCCAAAAAACCCCCAAAAACCCAACCTCTCTCTTTGCAAGCTTTGGGGCGCACACACTGAAGATTGCAAATATTCTCCTAGATAGAAAAATAACTTTCCTGAAACTGATGCTTCCCGTGTCATCTGTTCCTTCAAACAAACCAACAACAACAACAACAAAAAAGACTACCCCTGCCTCTACTTACTGCTGCAGGACAGCTTGGCTCTTCCCCAGTTAGGATGCCTCCCGCAGAGCCTCGGCCCTACCCCTCCGCCTGCTGCCGGGACGAGCCGCGCGGGCAGGCTCCGCGCCACCCCCGAGACGCTCAAGACATCAGGCTTCGCCCAGCCCCGCTCCGCTCCGCTCCGCTCCGCTCTCCCCGGGGCGCTGCATCCCCGCCGCCGCCTGCACGAGCCCCGCGGGTCGGTGCCCGAGACGGCTGCAAAAGAGGAGCCGGGCACGGCCAAGTGCACGTGCAAGCCCTTCTGCAGCACCGACCGAGCTGCTGCAGGCCGGGCCCGACGTGCCCCGTGAGCGCCGGGGCAGGAGGACGCGGGGTGCCGCCCGAGAGGTGCACCTGAGCGCGGCGCGGCGCGGCGCGGCGCGGGGGCACGGGCAGCACTGACCTGGCAGGGGGCTGGCGCCGGGAAGCAGCAGCTGGTGCAGCAGCAGGGGGGGCAGGAGGGCGCCGGGGCGGCACGC